GAGAGAGGATTGGAAATATTGTTGATTTCTGAACTCACCTACATGCAATTCAACGAATTCACTTGTTACTATCTGGAGAAATGCTGGGATAAGTAGGACCCAAACCACTGGTGACATAATTTTGGCTAAAAAGGGATAATTGCCATTAAGTGAATCTTAAAAGATCAAGCAAAGCGTCATATACTGCGCTTCCGAAAGTAACCAATAAGAGGGAGGATGCATTTAAGTGCTTCACTTTTATTGGTCCTTTAGACTAAAAATCAGAAATTGAGGAGAACCCAAATACATGAATTTAACTAACAGGAGGCTTTCAATAATTTGTGTAGAAGTGACAAGCCTTTTAGTAGATATGAGTAAAATCTGGTAGTCTGAATATAAGATTTCCTTAGTTTTTATTCCGGGCATGGAGCTGTGCTTAAAAGGATGGAATTTGCCTCCAAATGGAACCTTATGTTGTCTGATTTACGTATTTCTCCACTTATCATCGGTTAGCATCAAGGCCATTGTTAATTTGGTCAAGTGGATATATATACAAAATAAAATTTATTTAACTTCGTCTTTTTTGTATGCACCGCGGGAATTTTATCTGAACTGACAGCCATTACGAAGAAGTCTTGCATCTACTTAATTCCGGACCATTTAAGCCAAAGAATCAATGCATATGAATTATACCTCCTGGGTCGACGAATTTAGTACAAAAGTTATTCGCATTCCTGTTATATATTTAAGGAAACTCAAAGACGACATAGTACCTTCCTTCGTAATTGAAAATTCTTCTACCATGCGCGCCATGTTCCTATCCGAAATCCACTTCTTAGCCTTCCCACATTCGCAATTTGGGACAAATTTATTGTAAAACGTTACTAATGTCTACCAGAGCTTTTAAAAGAAAATTCAAAAATGACTACAAATTAATTTGTTTGCTCAAAAATTATGTTTACGTAGAATTGGAAGCTATAAACCTTGTTACAGGATTGAAGAAAATGTTTATTGACCTACTAGAGGACAGCTTTTGCCGATAATGACAAGGTCGTGTTACCTTCACCTCTTGAGGATCTACCAGTGCTATCCCAAAAGCGATAAGTCGTTTACAGGTGTTTATGGAAGAGTAATCTTCCCGACAAACCCTTAAATGCCTTTACTAAAAATGGTAAAATTTCCAAGCCGATTAAAATATTTGAAGTTAAAAGGAAATTATATTAAGGTAGCAAAATAACGAAATATGTCAGATTTGAATTGTTGAGATCATTTTATAAAAAAATGTACACGTTTCCCGGACTTCTTTTGCAAGATGCAACACACCAAAAATTACCATGTGAAAATCAAGTTTTTTTTATTTCAACAAACAATCGCGGATTTGAGAGATTGAGGGATCATTAGCCGATCATGTTTGATTGCGCCTTGTAAGTGCTTCTACCCCTCAAGCCTATTGAGCTCAAAGGTCAAAACAAGAGTTTTCACAACTGTAGGTGATGCGTGAATTTGACAAAAGATTAAATAGCTTCCTAATTATGGTGGGTTACAAGCTCAGTTAGGTGGACATGCTCCCTTGACACAAACATAGGTTCCCCCCTAGTTGAGTTATCGTATATACAAGATCATGCTGGTGTGACGGGTACCGAGCGTCGCTTGAATGTCCAGCCAGCTACCACAGTGATAAATAACCCTAGGAAATGAATCGGCAGTAAAAGAGAATTAAAACTGGGGCAGGCAACTGATTGCCTTCGATTAATTAAAAATATGTGCCTCTGGCGGATGTCCAAGCAAATGAAAAGAAAATCACCAGCCTTTTTTCCTCCCTATTTTTTTTCTCCCCAACACTTAAATAAAGTAGATAAAAATCTACTTGCCTGATAATTCGTGAGTGGTTTTTTATAGGTTATAGAAATAAATACACTTTATTTTTGCTAAGCATCTGTGGCTTTAGAAATTGGCACCTTATGATTAGTGATGAGGCCGTTCGCATAATCTTTCTGGACGATAATTTGCAGTGCTATCAAACAGGAAAAATCATATTACAATAATCTACAACAACAAATGATTTTTTTTTGAAAATGAAGTGCGAACATGAATGGTTTGTTTGATGACATGATCGTGAGTGGGGGTAAAAATTGCATTTAATGTCATTTAATTTGTTCAAAAGTTAAATTATCTAACATAGGTGAGGAAATAAACAGTAAACTTACCAGATCATGGAAGGACGTGCCAATATATCAATACCAACAGCAATGGCGACAGGCAATACGCCATCCGGAAGCCAATTTCACCATTACCCTACCCCCTTCCCATCTGGACCAATCAGATGCCAACTAAGCATACCAATCAGAAGATAGCGAATGTGCGATAGCAACGTAATAACACTTAGTTTACCCATGGATCACCCTCTGTCTGGATTTTTGCAGAGAAAAGACTGAGGTAATTAAATCATAAGATCAAAGTAATGACATTAAGTATTAAACGTCTGGTTTCTATAAGTTTAACGGTGTAAAATCAACATCACTTGCCTGTCATCAAAAGCCAATTAGTTTAAGAGGTCTATACTGTCCCGCCGCCAATTTTGCAATTAACTCACCTCCACTAGACGATATGAGACCTCAACTTTTAGAAACAGGTTTATTACAAAATAAATAGAAGGGTTGAACATGTCTACCAACAAGGGCGGCATAGTCGTGGATAATGGTATGTCCTTCACAAACAAACCGGACACCTTATTTAAAGAAGCATCTTATCGAGTATACTGCTGTACCATTACCAGGAGGAAATCTCGTATAGTTTTTGTGCAGTCATCGTACGCCATACGTGCCAACCACACTAAAGGGATTTATTTGAGAAGCATTGATTAATACAAGACTACTTTCTGCAGCAAGCGCCTTCATGATTTTGTGGTTTTTATGAAAGGAATATTTGCCCAAAGGTGAAATTGTTGTGGTTTAATGCATAAAATACAGTGTCGGCATGGCGACATGAGATTACGAAGAATAGTTTTTTTGGAAATGAGGAGCAAACTTAAGGATGGCTTCCAGGTAGCTACATGCAGTAACGTAAGCATCATTGAATCACTGGTACTGACAGACCCTAAAATAGAGCATTTTAGGTTTAAATTTCACAAAGTAGACAGGTCTCATCTGTAATTGTTTGAGCTTTATGGCGATAAATTGCCTCTGCGGTACACAGCAAACACACAGAAGTAGACCGTCACTTGAAAATGTGGAATGAGTAGTGAGAGAATCGTTTGAAAATAGCCAGTGATGTACCCGCTTTATCAACGAATATTGCAAGTTTTTCAGTCAATCCGTCATCCGATCAGGAAGTAAACAATCTGAATTGGACTAAAGGAGTGGGGTAAAAACTGATAGCCTTTTGAGCTTTTTCCTTATCAGCACTTGCCAATGCATGTAATGTGGATATCATTAATTTCCGTTCTGGCTTTATGGAGGTACAAACCAATTGTTGCATGGCTTACATTAGGCATCGTCATCACTTTTTGCCAACACACTTATCTTGAATTGACTTGTTAATAGTGACAAGTAATTTCCCACTCATGATCAAGTAGAGAATTTCTTCCTTAATTTCTTCCTTCCTTCTACCAGTTATTTACCACCTCACTTCTTTATCTGGAACACTTATGAGTAGTGCATTCAACTCTCATATACCGTTGCTTCTCCAAATACTGTGCCACAAGTTTGTCTTGAAGACTTTCGTTGATTCCAAGATTCATGATATCTGTATACAATAACGCTGTGCAAGTCTTTTACAGGGTTTGTTTACCTATCTAATCCTGATTTCATTCCTCTATCCGAATTTGCCGCTCCCAGATTTGTAGCATGGCCTTCAAACCACCTTTAATGCATTGAAAAGTCGACGAGGTTAAATGATCCTTCGACTTTTTGGCACAGCTTAACAGATCAAAAGCTTTAAACCGTTGATTTAGCCGTTTGCAGCATTATCCATATTTTTAAAATAGCCTCCTTATTTATTTGCATATAAGCCTACTTTGAGGTGACAATTGAAGCGGTCATAGTCTACGTGGGTGATAGATATCCTCAGGCGTCTCTCCTCGTGCCGCCACCATTAGAGTGTCTGGGTTAAATTTGGTGACTTTATAGTGCATCCATATTTGGAAGCAGCTTAATTTTAAAAAAACAACGCAAAATTAGGAGGTGATAATATTGTGTCTTCTAGGCCCAAAATTCGTGGAAGCCAAGAAAGCATTAGTTATCCATTGGTAGAATTAAGAGACTTCCTCTTTCACTCATTCGTTTTAGATTTTCAATTAGTCGTCCAACTTTTAATGAGAAATGGCCTTTGAATTGTAGCAATATTCAGGCCAACCTACGCCCATTTGTTATTCCCAAAACGCCCCATCTACTGCCCTACACTTCTAAGGCACCGCTTCATTGCCAGGATACCAAAAACGGTCATCTCATAAAAATGGAATTTGTAAGTTTTTCCGTTTTAAATTAGCAGTTATTTCACCCAGTTATTTCAATTTACAAACAAGGGAGTGGCACAATTATAATTTATAAAAGCCCATTTAAGGGTCGGTACCGCACCGAATCGTTTTTTAAAATCACAGCAAACAACATACTGAATTAATTTTAGCGCTTTATGCCTTACAGAGGATCAAGGAAGCTAGCAGTAAAACACCGAAGGCCATGTTTCTGGAGGAAGGTGCAGCCTCCAGAGCCTGAAGTGACCGCACAGCTAAACGCACAGTTAAACAGAGCATGGAATCACAAGAGAAATAGTTGTGAAGATAATTATTGCATCGTGAACAAACCTATCGCGTTTTATAACAGTTCACAACTGTATGATAAATGGGGAACCTTGTTTTGCCAAAGGAAACTCAAGAATTTTGAAATTTTGACATAACTTTCTCATTACCTTAATAGTTCTGGGCCATTCCAGAGGACGTAATTAAGCATGCCATCGTAGAAGATTTAGAACCAAAGGAAGAGATGGTGAGACACATCACCAAGACTGTGACCTAGTGCGCGGAGGAGGAGTAACCAGCGTACTAAAACAAGCGATTAAAACAAACATCTTTCAATTCCATAGAACAGTTGGCCTAAGTGCAGTCCAATCGAGAAAAGCATCGTATCTCTTAGGGTTCTCGATATAAATCACTAGATTAGTAAAAAATTACAAGCAATTCTTCATAGTTCTCTTTAATCTATTTTAATCTAGCTGCGTTTCTCTTAATTGGTATTTAGACTTCAGAATTGTGAGACGCGATTTTGATACCCCTTCTGCGGCGAGTGTCCACAGGCTCAGACCTCCATGGCAGAGGCTCCTTTCTTCTGTTACACTCCGTCTAACAGAGTTAGACCTATAATACCGACTGGGTCCGTCCATTAAGACATAAGAGCAGACCGTAGAAAGGAACAAAATCCCATAACATCACGGTGAGAGTTATCGGTTAATGGTTGGCTTTAACCGTCTGACAATCCATCCACTAATCCCAGCCTTAATCTTGTCAACCTGCCATAAAGTGCTGTTTCCATGTCTGCGCACCAGACGCTAGGGTAAACCAGAGGTAAGATTTTAAAATAGAAGTATTTGACGTCGAATGTCTATGTCCACAAGAAACACATAATTTGTGTGTTGAATTTCTGGAGTGACTCCATTCTCGTCTACTTGTGTCCTCCGATTGACCTCGACCCTGAAGTGAAAAGTAGCACATTTAATGTACCTTCACGTAATACTGGCCAATTAGGAGGAAGAGTTAGGAGGAGTACTAATTCCGATAAGTTTCTAGGCTGTTTGGCAAAGAAGGATTTCTGAAAATTTCTAGAACTTTAAAACAAAACCTCTATTTATGAGATTATTGGTAATTCTATTACTACTCATAAGTCGCTGACACACAAATGTTATTTGGAAAGTGTAAAAGCATTCAATCAATTCATATACTTTGTTTGACAATTTGTGTCAAAAGGAAATGAACATCTTATACAAAATTAAGAAAATTTTCCTATTTACAGGGAAGTAAAGTCATTTTGAGATCCATTGTGACAAGACAAAGGTAGTAATAGTACCGTCAATTTATTTTTAATCTGCAGATATTTTTCTATAAAACCGAAAATACTCCTTAGGTCAATTTATAGAAATGATTCTTATTTTCAACGATAGTGGTGAGGGGGAGCAAGAGGAGAAAAAAAATGGTCGGGTTTGATTGTGTGGTGTGGCCACTTCTCTCCCACATGTCGACTATTCTCCTGTAGTTTAGTACAAGTTGCGATTGTGAGATGAAGACGACTGTAGAGAAGCAGGAAAAGAGGTTTCTAATTCTGGCAAATCAGAGCCAAATTGCCTTCTTTAGCACATTTAGTAAGTTCATCAAAATGGACAATAACAGCCGCGCAACAGGACCTAGAATTACTTCATTAAAACAAAGGGAAATTTGAAGAGGTTAAATGAAAGCTGATTGAGAGTGACCGGAGTCATATCATTCTCACAGTCAATTAAGTATGCGTTAGGTGGATATTTAAAAGCTTCTGACGATTGCAAACACTGAAATTTTGGTGTAATTAGGGGAGTGATTATGATGGAGATCGTTGTAATTTCATATGATAGGACGTAGTTTGCTACCTTCTGAAGAGTGTAGATTCCTTCAAAAACGGTCTTTTCTCAAACATTTTTCTTCTTGCCTTCCAAAACTAGAAGTGCTATTATTTTGAACAGAATTTTATAAATAAAAGAATTGGAGGGCATATTTAAGCACAATAGGATGATACCTGTGGTTCCACCCTAAATGTAACTCATGCCCTACGATTTAGCTATTGTAAAACAAAGCACACTAATGAGCATTTGTGAGAGCTATCTTTTTCGGTGTTTCTTTGCAGAATTTTGTAATTTAAAAGTTAATGCAAAATGTAATTTTGGGCTTGTACAAGGTTGTACGGAATTTAATTCAGTAAGCGCTCGTTGGGGAGCTAGGCAAATGTATCAAGGGTTTTGCTGTTAGAAATTGGGAAATACTTTGTACTAACGTTATATAATTTGGTTTATTTCTTCTATGAAGAAAGCCAAAAGTTCTCCTTAATTTTCTTACCTGTTGGAAGTGTTGACTCTCCAGTGTAAAATTTTTCTTCATGAGATACAAATTGTTTTGCGGATTCCCCTTTTAGCAAATAGCCCAATCCTGGACGAAGCGTCTGTTTGTCTAGTGACAAGGAATTGTAATAATATGACGGATGGGACGGTGCCTCTCATCCCATGAGAGGTTCGTTCACTCTACGCAAAAACAGGGCGTCTATTTCTCAACACGGGTCAGTCGGTCAGCCTATTGTCTGGCATCATTTAGCTGCTGCGGGAACGCTTGCGACCCCAAGAAACGTTTACGTTACAATTTCCCAGACGCTTTAATTCTCCTAGCTAATTTCCTAATATTGAAGAGCGGCAGACTCTTGCTCACTCCTTCCTGACTAGCTGATATCACGTGAGGATGTACTTTTATTACGCCAACGCTCGTGTTAAAGTCAGGGTCAATTAAATTGTTAAACCTAATCACTTCGTGTCCCTAGCAGACTTTTGCTAGCCGGCAATTCAAGTACTCAAGTACCATGCTCCCTCTCTTACTCAAATAAGTCATCAAGTGAGGAGACTTTCCCTCCCAACTTCTCGGGTTGGAGATTGGATCCAAGTTCACTTTTATAAAGGCTGGTTCACACCAATGACATATGGGTATGACCTCTTCACCTGGTAGTTTCAACAACTTTGATATTATCTGATCGAACTAATCGTTTCATCGTTTAACCTAAACCTCACTGAAAGTTCTTTTTAACCGATGCAAAATTCTTAGTCGCTAAAAATGAAGGAACTTCCTTAAGCTGATGAATTTATCTTTGATGAATTCCCATAAGGATCAAACTACTCCTGTAATCCATTTCTGTTTGATCTCACTTTCTCAAAGTGCTCTTAGCTTCACGAGGAATTCCTGTGATTTTGGAATTCAACAGAAACTTTTCCATTTTGTAGACAAACTCGAGTCGACACCTTATGCTCTGAGGTTACCAACCAATTGTATGGATAAAGGGGAGAAAAAAGGGTACCGTGCCGAGAGACTGGCGTCTCCTTATGCTTGATGCTGCTTGCATGCAGAAAACGGACTGCATGTTGCGAGATCAAACCAAAAAAACGCCTAAATACTTGTAGCTACCTGATATTTCTTGCTTTTTTTCTATTTCGTTGCATTTTATCACTTCCACTGTGGTGCATGGACACGGTTATTAGACTTCCTAATTTCCACACGCAATTGAGGACCATTTTACTTTTTTACCCTACTAGAAATAAGACCTTAATAATTTATTACTTCATTAGCGAATGGCCAAAAATTAGCAACCTTGTGAAATTCTGTCGTTAATATATCGTCTGGTGCGGATTTAAGCATCAGTCATTGGTTAAAACTCCAGATTAAGTATTGAGACTTACAATAATTTTGGAATTGAACTGCAAATATTAAAGCAGACAACTTTTATATGCTCAGAAAACAGTGTTAAAACACGGTGTGATACTTTGTAGCACTTCGAGTCTTCTCCAACGTCGTAATAAACCGAAGTAGTAATAAAGGAACGTACTGCTTACTAGGGTACAGAAAAGTTGGGAGGCGACTCATAAGTCCCCGTAATTCAACACACAGTTGGACGGAACATCAAATCACTGCTTAGGTCCTCCCTTCTTTTGAGCATCATCAATGGTGCTCCCTTTGGCCGTCACAGCGTAGTCGGTATTTTAAAGAAACCACCCACAAGCCAGTGAAAGCAACCATTCTACTTTCTTGCATGCGAGGAGGCATTTGACTCCAATGTCACTGATGCATCAGG